GCATCCAGACTGACCAATCAGTGCCATCGCTATTTCAGCTGGCGGCCCGATCCTTATGCAGAGGCAACAGATGCCTTCCTACAGGATTGGTCGAGAATACGAGGATTTGCCAACCCTCCTTGGAACATGATATCCCGAATCATCACGAAAGTACAATCACAGAAAGCAGATGTGATACTAGTGGCCCCAGTATGGAAGTCCCAGCCCTGGTATGCATCTCTTCTCTCAATGGCAGTAGACTGGCCACGCCTGATACCAACTCAACACTTAACCCCATTGAACCCTCCACTAGCCGTGTGGAGCATATCCGGCAACGACTCGACGGTCAGGGCCTTTCAAGCCAAGCTACAGAACTCATTCTTAGCTCATGGCGAACAAAAACCAACAAGTCTTACGACTCACTTTTTGGACAATGGAGTCGCTGGTGTAGTCAACGGGAGACAGATCCTTTTTCAGGACCTGTAAATAATGTGGTTAACTTTCTAGCTTCTTTATATCAGGAGGGCTACCAGTATAACTCAATTGGAGCATACAGGTCAGCTATCTCCTCAGTACATGACAAGGTTGATGGTGTACCAGTCGGTCAACACCCCCTGGTAACAAGACTCATTAAAGGGATCTTCAATAATAGACCACCCATTCCAAGATACTCAAGCACTTGGGATGTCCAGACTGTTTTGAGGTACCTGGAATCCCTTGGTCCATCTACTAACCTTTCACTAAAGCTGCTATCTCTGAAAACAGTTTTTCTGATGGCTATTACACGACCCTCTAGGTCAGTAGATCTAGCTCACCTGATCTAGCTCACCTGGACTGTGAGAGAATACGGTTGAACACTGAAGGAATATCCTTCCTCCCTAATATCCTTTCAAAACAATCACGCCAAGGGAAACCGATAGAGGAATTCTTTTTCCCTAAATTCCTGTCTAACATTATAATTTGCCCCGTGAACACTCTTAAAATATATCTAGAAAAAACAAAGCCTCTTCGAGGTGATGAATCAAGATTATTTATATCTTTCATTAAACCACATAAAGCAGTTACGTCTAGTACCATTGCTAGGTGGTTACGGACAACCCTGGAACTATCAGGCATCAACTCTTCTATTTTCGGCGCTCATTCAACTCGCAGTGCTTCAACCTCAGCAGCTGCAAGGGGAGGAGTCACTCTGGAGGATATTCTCAAAGCAGCTAACTGGAGTTCTGAATCTGTTTTCCAGAAGTTTTATCACAGGAACGTGGACAAATCTAAATTTGGTATAACAGTAATTAATCAGAATAGCTCGGAGTAAGCTACAAACAACACAATTGATGTGTGAGACTGAGCCTTCTGAAATATAATTGTCAGAATGGCTAAGGCCGCGAAGCGGCTGCAAGCTATTCTAGATTATATGAAGAAGGTGAAGTCGAGCACATCAAGTGTCCACACCCACCCTCCCAATGGAAAAGGAGGAGCTAATCAAAGGCCAACGGAAATGGCGATTGCAGGGGCTTATATAGTAGGGCAAGTGGGCGGATGGGCGGTGCAAAAGTTATTAAACTTGTTATTTAACTACAAATTAGCTGTGAGTTATGAAAACTGGTCAAACACAATTGATGTGCTCGACTTCACCTTCTTCATATAATCTAGAATAGCTTGCAGCCGCTTCGCGGCCTTAGCCATTCTGACAATTATAATTGATAATAATTGAATTTTTATTACTGGGAGTGGTCAATTTTACATGGGTGTGACTGTAAAAATGGCTGATCTGGGACAGAGAGCAATCCGGGACCCCTCCGGGACAGCAGCAATAAATCCGGTGTTGGAGGGTGGTTGGACCCCCCCTTCTTTTTGGACCGGGGGTCCAAGCACTCGTGAGTAGTTGGACCCCCGGTCCGTATACTCCCTGAGCGCTTGGACACTCTGTTTGGACTCCCTTGGAGCCCTCACCCAGTCGCCCTTAATGTTTGGACCCCCTTCATGCCGTTTGACGCTGGCAAGACACATGCTGATACCTCACTGCGGTAGCCATGATCATAACAGTGCCCTCTTGTCACCATAGATGCTTCTTAAAAGAGCAAGATTAAATTGCTGCTAAACAGCCCTGCTATGCAGTATTGACAGAGTCTATTTTGTTATTATTAAATTTTATTTAGGTAATTGTTGTGTAACAGTGCATTTTACAGCCTCAAGGTAATCAAAGTTAAATTTCTTTATCAACAAAGCAGCAAGGAGCTATTAAAAACATAAAACTAGATTATATAAATATAAAACTTACTTCTGGCCAAATAATAGTTTTAGAAAATCGACTATTTTACCATTGGTTCTTTTTGCAATACGCACTAGTGTACAAAAATCCACAAAGTACACTCCATTTCAATTGATATTTAATAGGTGTGTATCACTGCTGTCAGTTTTGTCACAATTTATAATTATTCTAGGCAACCAGTTTTACCTATTGAATTGGAGTTGAAGCCGGGACAACTGAGCAATGCAGATGAAACAGATTTTAGCATAGATATAGATGATGTTGTTTCAAGGATAACTGAGTTAAGGCAAAGGATATTTCCATCTGCAAGTCAAAACATTGATGATGCACAGGTGAAGTATAAGGAATATTACGACAAGAGAAGAGATAACCCAGAGGTGACTCGCTTTATCTCTTTAAAAATTTGACTACTAAACTTATTTTTTCAGAAAATTGCAATTAATTACCTGACACATAATTTCCATTCTCTTGTTTTATTATTCAAAGATCCTCTTAATGACTTGGTATAGTACAGCAATCCGCCATTCTCAATTTTGTAAGTCTCCTGGCATTTTCTTCTGTAGTAGTTTTCAGGAATAATTTGCCCAATAACATAAACTACTGTACCTGAAATTTCTTTTACCATCTTTAGTATCTATTTCTGACAGATACCGTAGGTCGGGATATATTCGCGGCTGCTTATTTTCGCAATAATAAAAACTAATAAAAAGGTTCAATTAAATACCATGTAAACTAAT